AATTTGTTTTTTTGCCATCAACTAATATCTAATTGGTTAGAAATTAAGATTTACAAAATCAAAACTAAAACTAAAATATTGCACACCGCCCTCGGAAGTTAGAAAATTTAAAGTAATTGTAACTTTGGGTATACTTAAAATAATATATACATGTTCCTTGGGTTTTTAACAATAAATATTTAGCAACGTGCTATTATGCTAAAAAAAAGGTCTAAAAAACCCCAAAAAATTTGCATTTTGTCAAATAAAATTAAAATTTAGAAATACAAATAGCAATAAATGACAAAATAGAGAAAATGCAATAAAAAGTTTTGAATTAATAGTAAAACTGCCAATTTTATCTAATTATAGTTTCGTTTTTTATTATATATTTGTTCTCTAGAGATACAAAGAAAAAAGAGAACTTGACGATAATTTAATTTTTATGATAATGTAATTTATTAATTCAAGTTATAATAATACTTGAATATGATAAGTTCAAGGGCAAGGTTACTGTATTCCAATGATAGACCACATATTGAAACTTATATAGATTGATTTTTCATTTTGCCTTTCCACCAAACCCCTAATTATACGCTAGACATGTCGTATCAGGTTTTCCTTCAAAAGTGTTGACAAATTCTTCCTCTAAAAGTATGTTAGAAAGACAAACCAGACCCAATCCTTTATAGAGTTGAATTTCTTACATGCCTAGGTCGAGGTTTACTTGAAATTGATGTTTTTATAATTATAAAAAAAAAAAAAGTTTTTAGCAGTTGAACCATATCTAATTAGGCCCGTCACAATCCCTTATAAGGCTGAATTTCTTACACATTTAGCTCAAGGGTTTACTTGAAATTGATGTTTTTATAATTATAAAAAAAAAAAAAGTTTTTAGCAGTTGAACCATATCTAACTTCAAAACACTAACTATTAAATTATAAATTAGTGGTTTTTGTCCCTCTACATAGGAGATTTTACTCCAAATTTATACTCATTAATTTTGTTCATCTTTTGTTTTCCGAAGGATTGAGTAATTTGAGCATTTTTTTTAAGAGAAAGATTATGCAAACATCAATTTAACTTTGGAAAATAGTTGTTTAATGTTGAAATTTAAAAGGATAATACGATGAGATTAATTGTGAATTTAAATTAAAAATTTAATAAGGTGAAGTTATAATTCTAAATAAATGATCTAATTTAAAAGAGTTTTTGTTGTATAAGATTCAAATTAAATTTAAGCAGGATTTATCTTGTCGAAAAAGTAATCAATTTAATTTGAATTCATTTAAGCTCCATTTAACAACACTTTTTGATAGTTTACCTTTTTGTTTTTATGTCTTTTTATTATTTTAAAAATATATCAAATATTAATTAAAATAAATATTAAGTGTATAAAATATATTTTATATATTTTTGAGATGTTAAACGACAAAAAACCCTACAACTATAGTTATATGCCAATATTGTCAAACTAAGCTTTACTCTATGTTTAGGTTGAGATGAATGGAGAAGAGGGGAGGGGTGGGAAAGGTCAAGTCTTTTAATCAATCAAATTATAATTTTTTTTTAAATATTGTAACAGGTTCGAGTCCTCCTGACATTAAAAATGTAATTATTTTGTTTTTAACCCCTAATTTATAATATGTTAGCGGATTTTCTTCTGCATAGAAGGTATATAAAATATAAT